AGGTGGGCGGAGACGAACCACTTTTTTGGACCACTTATCCCCCCCTCCCTTTTTTAAACGGACCCGTTTCTGCCAGACAGTTGGGGCGCGGGGGGGCAGGGCGTCATGGTTCAACACCACCTGTTGAGCAGCTCCACACCCACGCCCGGGTACCAGAGCAACAATGGACACCTTGCTCTCTGAGTAGTCAGCCCCCCCGCGCGCGCTGCCCCGCGCTCATACCAAAAATTGTGTTCAATTATAAAAGTAATGATTAATAGGTTGATTCAAAAAAATATCACGCAAAAAGACACATCAAGAACAAGAACAATGCAGCTAGTAGGCAGGGAGTGCCTACATGGCGTCCAAAAGCAGATTGTACAAGTGAGAGGGCGCTATGACGCGGCGCAAACTTCTATATTCAAAAAATATTGCTCGAAACTACAAAACAGAAAATTTTCTTAACTAAGGGTCCGTTTATGGTTAACAAGAATTGTTAACGTTTTTTCTATTCTATTCTCATATAAGGTTAAAAATGTTTAATATTTGCTTAATGTAAGTTTAAGTAGGTGTTGTACAAGCAGTGATACTGGAAGTATCATCTGCTAAAAAATTTCATTTCGTACATTCTCTTTTCTCTCTTATACTTACTTCGCGCTCGCGGAACGTTACGCTTGCTAGCGAAGTGATGCGGCTCCACCATCATGACCTCTCTCTGCTGCATAGGGCGTTGCGGCCGTGGCCCGGCACGGCGTGTAGTGGCCGGTGTACGTCAGTAGATTAGGCTGAACCCTGCAAATCGACCTAATGCAAAACCGCTCGGCACATCGATAGTTGGGGCCAAAATAAACGTTTTGACCCGCAGAGGCAAAACAAATTTCCCTTAGAAAAAAAGTCATAAGGGGTTAAAATTAACATGGAGCCTTACGCGGACTCCGGGTAGGCAACACGCAGCACACGGCCGGCCGTTTTTCGCTGTTCGCGCGGTTTTTCCGCGAAAATGGTGACTTAGAGGTAAAGTATATTAACAAAAATTGGAGGAGCGGTACAGAAGAGTGTACTGAAGACTCTCGCGTTGAGATATTGTCAAAATGTTGCCTGTGAGGGCGTCTAGAAGCCAGCAAAGTCCAAACTCACGGGCTTTGAACACAGTTGTGTTCAAAGTCGTTCAACGTCCAACCCATGCACCCAGAGTGCAGTTCTTTCGTACTAAACTGTCAAGCGAGGTGTGCTGAACACGCTCATGGTACCCGTTTGGACCTCAGACCACTAGAAATTCAGACCACTGGAAATTAATTTATTGAACATTTAGTCAAGCCGCGCAGCGCTTGGCGCGCCGGCCCGCTCGGGCCCGGCCCCGGCTGCTGGGATGGCCTGCCCTGCCCTGTCATATTGTTTGCTCCCGCCCCTGTGTTACCCCGATTGGCCCGTTTCTTGGGGTTTGGGGGAGCTTCGGCATCTGAGAGTGTGCACTAGATCTAGCCCGGCTCCTCTCACCGTATATGACAGGGGCGGGCGGCCTCAAAAGCATTTCTTGCACCCTTTAGTATGAGTGCCCTCTGCTCGTGCGTGGGCTTACATCGTAATGTGTCACACCCAGCACGATGTTCACCCCGACGAGCTCCCCCTCGAAGAAGAGGCTGAAGTTTGCGCCTTCTGCCGTCTTGGGGGAGAGCAGCAGAAATGCAGCCAACACCAACCGGGCTCAATGCTGTCTGTGAGGTGAGAGGTCCGGCGTACTCAAATGCCCCGCCGAGAACCCCGTCGCATCACAGAGGTACGCTGGCTACAAGACGCTTGCCAACCTGCTGCCCGAGTTTGAGGCTGAGGGGCTGCTACCAAATTCCATCAACCTCATTATCCTGATGCTGTAATCCCATCTACATCCAGATAATTTACATGACAGTCAGTAAGAAAATAGACATATTTCACTCATTTCACTAGAAAAACAAAGGTGCTATCCAATACCTTTCTACAGGCGTTAGTAAATTAGTACCTTTACAAAGGCATTTGTACACTAACACATTTAAAAGGTGTTACATAGCACCTCCGTTTTTCCAGTGTTAACACAGTGATTACTACACATTAGAAGCTCGTGAACATTTCTGTTCATAAACTGTTAGCCAACACGGATGAAAAATGGGGACCGAGGTAGTATTTCCCACGATTTCGAAATTTGTTCATACCGGCGTATTAAAAAAATGCTTAACCGCAGCACGTACATAGAACTCAGTAAACTATGAGCATAAATGTTCACAAGCTTTTAGTGTGTACGATGGCGCTGTTCTCAGAAAAGACCACAAAGCAGTAAGAAGAGACGCTGCACCGTGCACACTGGACCCACTACATCAACCCATTCCATTAGACCAAGACCAAAAAGATCAATAAATAAAAGAAGCTTCACACATTATACTCTATAATAGCCACCCTTCTAGTGGGGTGAACTGCATGAGACAGCCTCGGAGCAGTCCGGGCCCGTGGGTGCTGCAGCTAGCCCAGCGGCTGGGCCGGACCCGAGCAGGCCGGCGCACCAAGCGCTGCGCGGCTTGACTAAATGTTCAATAAATTAATTTCCAGTGGTCTGAATTTCCAGAGGTCTGAGGTCCAAACGGGTACCATGAGCGTGTTCAGCACACCTCACTTGACAGTTTAGTACGAAAGAACTGCACTCTGGGTGCATGGGTTGGACGTTGAACGACTTTGAACACAACTGTGTTCAAAGCCCGTGAATTTGGACTTTGCTGGCTTCTAGACGC